GTGTGTGTGTGTGTGTGTGTGTGTGTGTGTGTGTGTGTGTGTGTGTGTATACTAATGACAGACCCAACTGTCTAGACTCCCAGGCCAGTAGGGTTTTTTCCTACTACATGGAACTCTCCATATATGTGTACTCCTTTCATGGGAGAATAAGGACTTTCTGTCCTCAGCTCCCTCCCTGCTGGGCTCTGCCTGAAAAGAGTACTATGGATACACAAAAATTTCCAGGAGAACATGTCTTGGGATGGATCTCAGCCTACTCCAGAGGTGAATTCTATCCTAAAATCTGGGTCTTCGTTGCTCCAATAAATCTGCTATTGAAGTAGTTTAAGTACCTATTTTTTGCCTAGCACTGTACTAGGTACCATATTGCTTCCTTTTTGGAATTACTTTGTTCAACTTTGCACATAAATTGTATTTTCTTATCTGTAATACATGTTTTATCCCCCAGAGAAATATAAACTCCTTGAGAACAGGCACTTTTTCGTTTTTTGTTTTGTATGGCAAGAGCTTAATAAAAGTTTGTGAATTGAATTCTTGTGCAAAAAGAGGGATGGCAAACTGTTCCTTCCCCAAAGGACTTTACAATCTAATTGATAAAACAAGACAAATACAGATATATGACTGTCAGTGAAGAAAGCCATATATAATGAAGTGCTGGACTGTGCAATATAGACAAATAGTGTATGATACCTAAATAATGATTTGTTCCATGAGAACAAGTTTAAAATGAGTTAGAAAGAGGAATGTTAGCATTATCTATCTTGCAGAGCAATGTAGTTTATAGTACAAGCTACCCTCAAGCAGTTCAGGAGACCCACAGGTTCTCTGACTGGGAACCAGAGTCCTTGGAGACAAAGAAACAGGCAAGCTGTTCGGTCTATAGGTAGACCTCACAAGCCATATGTGATTTGTCCTCATTATTGATAGATAGCCATATGTTCATAATTGTCAAGACTAGGATACCCATTTAAAATTAGTTTAATAAGTTAAAGGTCATCAGAAGAGTAAATGGCAGACATTCTGATATGTCTTTAGGTTCACATATATCAAAGACTCTGGATTACATCATTATTGGTTTTGGAGTATAGTTCCAGGGCATACCAGGAAACAACCAGAGGTATATTAAAACATCAGTGTTATCAATCTACAGGTTGCTACAGGTGTGAACCACATAAACTAAACACTCAGATAAGTTTAAACTTGAGGCCCTTCTAAGGGGTTCATTCTTTTATTTGGGAATATTCCTTCCTTCATTCATTCAGCAAACATTTTTAAAATATCTGTTGTTTACACAACACTGTGCTAGAAACTGGGAGAGGTACAAAGTTTAGATAACTGCCCTCATGGAACTTATAGCCAAGTAGGCGTACATGACTCAGAGATAGCTAGCATGCATATTACATGATAAATGTATTTTAAAAATTACAGACCAAAATATTTAAGGGGCATCAAAATTTACAATGGGAATCCTGAAAGCTGTGTGAAAAAAGGTAGCATTTGGGTTGGGCTTTAAAAGCTGGGTAGGAATCCAATAAATGAAAAGGGAGAGAAAAGACTTTACAAGCATAGGGACCAGCATGGCCAAAGAAATGGAAACATGAAAGGGGAGGGCATGTTTAGGAGGCAAAGAGGTGGTGCAGTGGATAGAGTACTGGGCTTGGAATCAGGAAGACTCATGTTCATGAGTTCAAATCCATACTCAGACACTCACTAGCTGTGTGACCTTGGGCAAATCACCTAACCCTGTTTGCCTCAGTTTCCTCATCTGTAAAATGATCTGGAGAAAGAAATGATAAACCACTTCAGAATCTTGGTCAAGAAAATCTCAAATGGGATCAGACAAGATTGAAACAACTGAATAACACTAATAAGGAGTATTGTAGTAATAATTCAAATGCTTGAATGGATCTGTTAACTCTGATTTGGAAGTTCCTACCAATGAGGTTGACCACAACCCATGTGTGCTTGCCCATTCTGTGTAATTCTTGTGCAGGCCTTCCCCAAATTTGCCATTGTGTGTCCACCTAATGGGCTGAAGGGCTTCCTTACTATCTTCTGAGATTCTGAGTCCACTAATGAGGCACTCAAGCAATCTACCCGCCATCCCTCACCTTTGCCACATACATTTTCCTGATGTCAGCTTTTATCCCTGTTCTTGAAAGTTCCTTCCATATTTATATGTCACCATTTGCTCATACCTACCAAGTTCCTTTCTGTTATCCTTTGTACAACCCAATTCTTCAAAGACTGTTTATGTAGGATTCCTAAGAGTATCTCCACATTTCCCTCCCCACATCACACCCACTCATCCACACCTCTTCTTCTGGTAAGGGATCCCAGGAATGGATTGTAGAGGAAGATCAGTGAGGTGGGAAGCTTAGGGTTAGTTCAGATCGTTTGAGCCTTGCAACTGAGGGTCAGGTTGGAGCCATGCCACCAAAAGAAATAAAGTATAGGTTCTGCCTAGGACAAAAAGGAAGATTGGAGTTGGTCTAATA